CTATCCCTGAAAGTGCTTATTTTTGCTGCCCTTTGCTCATGGAAGCAGGCTTGTACTGTTAGGCACCATATTAACTACTGTTCTAGTATTCAGTTTACATGCGTTATGATTTTGTTAGTTGAAAATCCACCCTGGGCTGTGCTGTATCAAAGCTGTTAAAATCTCCATGAATCCTCAGAGTCCTGCTAGTTTTGACTAGACACCGTTACAGCTGCCAAAAGTTCAAGGAATTGTCAGGGCTTCAGAGACACTGGCTCCAGCTGACCTGAGCAGGACCTGCAATTTTCAAACTAACACAGCTGCATTTTATAATCGTCACCATTTCTGGAGAGGTTGCAGAACTCAGATAATTACCCTGAAAGAAATAAGACAATATTCTTTGATGAGAAGATTACTTTGAGAATTTGATTGTATAATGAAGCTGTTGCTTTGAAAGGTACTTTCTATTGTTCAAAATCTGAAAATCTCTAGCAAAAAGTGTCACTTGTTTTGACAGCCGACTTAAAAAATTCTCTGTTTATTACATTAACTGCAGCATTTTAACTGTCAAACTGTGAAAGAATGTTCTATAGTTTAAAAAACAGAATAGAGCTCAGGGAAATTTTTGGCAGGCTCTTGTTGCTATTGGGTGTTTTTTTTTCCTTTGGAAACACATACACTGTGAATGTGAAAATAGCTTTTTGTGAAGTAGCAAACACAGCTTTCAGCTCCTTATAATGCCTGGAGCACAGGTGCAGACCTTGAGCAAGTCCCTAGAAAAAAATATTACAGAACTAACACATTTCAATCTTTCAGTAAGAAAATACATCATGAAAACATTTTTCTAGTTATTTTATTTTAATGGTGTTCAGATACAGCTAACTTGATGGTAAACCCTAATTAAATAGCATGCTGTAATACGAAGCTAAACACAATAATAACAGGAGTCTTTAAAGGGAGAATGATATTCATCAGACAACAGTATTTAACTCAGATGATGTTATGGATTATATCCTTTTTTAATACTCTAGGCTACAGTAAGTTAGCAGTATGACTGAAACAATACATCTGTGTTATATATCCTTGGTGACTTCACCCAGCAATTTTTTGTCTCAGTACAAAGAGCGATTCCACATGTGACTAGTAATCAAATTTTAGTGTCACTCACAGAAGTAGGCTTGACAGGACGCTAGGGAGAGGAAGTGAAAACAAATCTAAACATGGTAAACAGCACAAAATATATATAATAAAATAACATTTTAATTATTGCTAAGAATCTATAGCTTCTTGAAGGTCTTGTAAAAATTAAGCAAGATATATTTATTCTCTTCTTAATTTTTTTTATTTAGATATCCTACCCAGCTGTTAGTAGTAAGAACCATACTAGATTTCTCCATGAAGACTGTATTAAGTTCCATAGTCCTTGGAGGAGTCTCCTGCCTATGACATTTAATAAACCAAGTGTTATTCCTGGGACAGGAAATACAGATTATCTTTCCACATATCAGTTCACTGATGTTTATGGGTATTATATGTGGTAAATGGTATTAATGAAGTTAATCAAGGAGCACTGTTTCAAGTACAAAGATTACATAATCAGCTTACGTGCTAGAGTAAGTGAACATGAGTTCACTTTCACACTCAGACACAGGTAGTGGGTAAAATTATTCATGTCTCCTATATATTCTTTATGGTACTTGAAGACAAAACTTGTATGCTGAAAATATATGCTTATTTTTCATATAATCACAATGTTATGGGGTCTCTGATCTTTTCCCTTGTTCTTATTATCTGAGAATTTTCTGATTAGCTGTGTAATAAAAATAATCAATGATATTGCTTGTACATACATGGTTTATCGGTGGCAAAGTATTATGTTGTTGTCGACATCCTAGTCACAGAGAAGCTCAGTGTCTCTGACCTTGATAAATTCTCCAAACACTGAACAGTTTTTATTGATCACTTAATATCACCTGAGTTCCCCTGTCCATTAATGTGTAGCCTCGTTCTCTACCTATTCCGTTTATTATCCTGTCTATAACCAGCTATTGCTGTTAGAATGTGGCCCCTGCAGAAACTAGGTCTTTACACAGCAGGATCTTACAAATCAACATCAGTGGGTCACCACACAGGTTTTACAGAAGCAGTGATGCCTAATATCTCTCCACGTGACATCTGCAGAAGCAGAAGTAAAGACTGGGTACATCTACTACAGATTGTCCGTCCTCCCGATGTGCTAACACAGGTGGCAAATGGACATACTGAAAGTAGAGTGTACCCTTTTGTCTTGATAGAGATCTGATGTAGTAAGACATCATCTTTTTATATTTTAATTTCATGTAAAAATTTGCTAATTTGTTATATGATGTTTTCCATTTTCCAAGACATGCTGGTTTTGCAAGCATGTAATAAAGTTGTTACTTCCTATGTGAAGTATTATTTGTTAAAATCTTTACCTTGAGTTTCTTAAATCTCCAGTGAAAGGTAACTAGTACTGACTTAGCTTTATTCTGCACTTAATTAAGCTGCTACTGCCCCGTATAAATCACTAGGAGTGGCAGCTTTATAATTTCAAGTCAGATTTAGAAATAGTAAAGAGTATTTTGAGTCACTAGAGGGCATAGAAGTACCAAACCAGTTTCTGTTTCTCCCTTAACAGTTTATTCCATTCTGTATGAGAAAAGAATAATTTCATCCCAAACATTTGTTGTCTAAATTTTTAGTCTGGGTAATTATAAATGCATGGTAAGTGAAGAACAGATGAAAAGTACAGCTTGCTTAGCAAGGAAGATGTCCGTTGTTCTTATGTTTTCTATGACTTATTCAGTATTTACTTCATCCCAAAGAAGTCTCCATCAAACTTCTTTTGCAGAAAGATGCGATATAACTCCGGAGTGACACGATTGCTGGGTACTCCCTCTACCTCACACATGATTTAGACAGACTGTTGAACTAAGAGGGGATTAGAAAACCTGTAGAGCACTATATTTCTTTATGTGACTTTCCCGATCCTCTAGATGCTATAATCTCCTATAATATTGACATTTTAGGAGGAAAACTGCTATTAGAAAGGTTCGTTGTGACATTTCTTTTAGGGCTGTTGAAAGATTCAGCTGTGCTGTTAATTCTTTTGACACCACACATTGCAGACAGTGGGGATTGGAACTGCGCACTATCCTGTTCTTCACGCAAGCATGTAAACCTTCTCCTTTGAAACTCCTGCCCAAGGACTGGACTTCCTTTATCCCATTTCCTCTCATCCTAAATTTATCCTCTCTCCCTTCTTATGACTAAGTTGCTCTTTTCTGTTCTTGGTCCATTGATTTACTTGCTTATATTCTGCTTTTCACAAATCTAAAACATGTTGTTTGAAACAATTTAGTTCTATAAAACTAACTTGGGATAGTGCTTTGAAGGATTTTTTCTCTGTGTGTGGATGTAACTCCTATGTGCTGTCTGAATTTATATCACAGGAGAATTGTCCTTTTAGGAAATAAAGTTATGTTAGACACTTTACCTGAAGAGAATCTTGTGAGTGGGAAAAAGATTAGGGGTTACTAACAAGCTTCTGAAACTCTTTCTCATGGGTACTGTTTAGTAGATCCTCCAAAGCATCTCTGACACACTGCAGTCCTCAGAATATTTGTGTCCTTTTTTACCAATCAGAAAATTTTCCAGTGTGTAGACTACAGAAATGCAATTATTTCAGTCACAGGGGCAGCCTCATTCCTCACTGTGCTATAGGAGAATTATTCCTTCATCAATACATGCTATTTATTAATGGCAGCTTCTTGTATTTTTCAGTGAGAGAGGTTGAAACTGCTGAGTGGTTCTTACTTACCTTTGTGGCTAAACAACAGCACTCAGCATTAACTCTATAGCAGTCATTTACTGTCCTGCAAGATGCACTGCTGCCTCTTCCAATTTGTTCAGCAGAAATTCACAGTCTCCTTCACAAACCACCACCACTGTCTGTTTGCTACAACTAATTAGTGCCGCACGTGAAAAATAGTGTAGGTCCCACACTTGGGAGTCCTTTTGAAAGGAACAGATATTTACGTACCATTTCTGATTTTTCTGACCATTTTACATATAGAACACTTGATTTCATCAGGAAAGCTGCCTAATCAGGATCTCTCTAAGGTGGTTGCCATGGCTGCTGCTCAGTGTCATTCAGGTGGTTTCATAGCATTTCCATCCTTTGTGTGTTTCAGTCCTCCAGCCAGAACCATCATTCATTCTCTGTTTAGTGAGGATGTACCCTTCAGTAGACAGTACAACAGCATTTTGTGTTGCTTTGTACTTCTCTGAAGCATTCTTAGGCATTTATTGCATTTTCCTGTCCTTTCTATCTTCTCTCTATAGGCCTGGCCAGAGAACTGTAGATGACTTAGAAATTATATATGAAGAACTTCTTCACATTAAGGCCTTATCTCATCTTTCTACCACAGTAAGTATTTTTAAACATATAACTCATCACCAAAGGGGAGGTTGAATTTTGACTTCTGGCGCTTTATTAGAATTGGAGAACCCACAACCCTTTCCATTTATACTGTCCATTCAAACAAGTTATACCCACCTGTGAGAAGCACCCAAGCACTATGCAGATGTAGGTTGTCTTTTGGATATCAGATATCATTCTCTCATGTGTTTCTGCACAGCCCCTACCTCATTCACTTGGCACAAGTGCCTCCATCTGGGTCCATATCTGAGTTTATACTAAGATGCCTGTAATCTAACCTGACACCTGGGACTGTGGTACTACTGAATTTTGCAAAATAGATGTCTGATTTGTGAACTATAAGAAGTTTTGTCTTGAACCAGTTAGGAGGAGGAATCACACAGTGCAGGAAGGTGTACTGTGCAGTGCTGGCTGCTTGGAGTTTGGTCATTGAGCGAAGTAAACCTCATCAGACACCTTCTCTCTGAGTGGGCAAGAACAGTGCAGGGAACCAAGAATAAATGAAATGGAGAAAATGGCTGGAAGAGAGAATGCAACTGTTTAAAGTCTCACCATCTAAACACACTGTTTAGGCAACTGAAACAAGCTAAATAGCACTTTACCTGGTAGCAGCAAGATGTGGGTGCTTTCAGAAGAAGGAAGCCAGTCAGAAAGTAGATTTATGTTTGACAAAAACTTCTTTGGAAGCTCTTGATATTTTCAGTAATTCTCAGCTACCTTGGACAGATGCAGCTCATTATAAAGCTGCATTACAGAAAGATAGTATGTAAAATGTAACACCTGAGCAACATTTTTCAAAAATAATATGCATGCAGATTGGTAACTGAACTAAGAGGGAACAGCCAACCAAAATCCTTAGGCATCCCTGGGGTGTAGGAAAAAGTATTTAAAGAAAGACTTCTGTAAGGTCCAGAAATTACCCTTTCCAAATCAAGCAAAAGAAACTGCCCAAGATAGACAGATACTGAGAGGGAATGGAGAACATTCTTGATACTACAGATATAACCCAGCACAAAAAAATCTGAAACACAAAATATTTCCAGCTCAGAAGAAATTCAGGCTTGAGGTCAGAATCCACAGCAAGTCGCATACAGAACAAGTACGGCAAATGATACAAACTGCAAGAAATACTTGGCATTTTGAAGAAGTGCAGTTGATTCCATGTTTTTAGTAAGAATTTGTAAATACCACCCTATTATGAGCCACATGAAATAAAGCAGAGGACAGAAACCGTGACTAGCTTAGAGGAAATCTTCAGAGGAGCAACAGGCAGCGTTGCTTCTATGAATCAGAAGATTAATGGTCAATTGACTTGAAAGCAAATGGAATGTTTATTCATTTTAAGCAAGGCGTAATTCCTAAAGTAGTAAGTTTTCTAGATATGTCACAAGCAGGAGGAAGTAAAATGGATAAAACTCAAGTCACATGGTGGTAAACTTGCTAGAGAAGCCTGTGAAGTTAATGTATGAATGAAAAAATTACATATGACACAGTGTTAAAAACAAATCTAATTCTTGGTTTCATCAAGAGGATTCATTCACTGCAGAGGCAAATGACTGAAACAACTGAGAAGACATTTGAGGACATACATGGGTAGGAATACTCTCTACAACGTGCAGAGCAGTGCTAGTGGGGTTGTATTTCCAGTCCTTATGAAAGTGTCATTGCCTTCAGGCAAAGGTTATAAAAGAGTTTGGTGTACTAATTGTTATAGAAATCACAGGTCTGTGGATGCGTTCACTGGTCAATGTAAAAAAACCTGTCCAAACACCTCTATTTATCCCTCTTCTTCTCCAGACTGCAAACAGGGAGTGCTTTGCACTGGAAAGAGTTCTGGGGGAGGTGGCTGGTGTGGTATGTTTATGCTTGGTGCCTGAGCAAAGGTTTGGTGGGTGCCTTTAGGACACCAGAGCCTGAATTTGCCCACCCATCTTAGGAGATGCAGCCACCAGACTCTCATCTGGATTGTGTCCAGAATTTGTGAATTCCTCCCCAAGTTTTTCTTCATGGCCTAAAAATTTGTTTCAATTTAGACAGTTGAGAGAATGGTGTGAAAATACTACTACTAAATACATGTTGGAGCCAGCTTTTGATCTGTATTTGGCACGGTTAAGTTCCACAGTAGTACCTTTGAAATATGGATTGCCACCAGCTGACATTTTCTGAAAACAAGAATCCCACTGCTTGGAAACTGGCCTCCAAGTCCTTGGGGACTTGTGGTTGTAAGAAGAGAGACATAAAGCACATAGGAAAACTCAGGGTAATATGAGGTTCCCAGAGTTGCTACTATTTTGTGAAAGTAACACTAACAGTGTTTACAGTGAGAAAAAGTAGTTGTGAACAGTGTCTCACTAGAGGCAACTGCCCAGAGCAATACAAACCCAGTGAGGAGCAGGCTGACACCAAGGGCAGTGTCACATTCTCCAGTTCCTGGAAGAGGTAGTGAGCTGGACATTCTGCCTGGAAAGCTATCAGGCGGAAGGGGGGCTCAGCAGGTCCAGATGGCTGTGCCTCACAGCTCGACACAGCAGAAGTGGCCAGGCTTACGTCAGTAAGGGGAAGGGTACTGATTTTTCAGGGAAGAATAGGAGTACTGCAGAGCCCCATGGAGTAATTGACAATTGCCAGCTATCTTTTTGTAACAGAGTAGCTATTACCGTTTGAAATTTTCCATCATGTTAATGTTAATTGTTAATGGTGGTTTCACAAGCATTTGTATGAAGAAAGATGTGGAGACCTGTATCTTAAAGATGCCCTTGTCTGAGCCATTTGGAGCCAGGAAATACAGAGGGTCATGTTCTGTAAAGCAAATCAGTAGGATGTAGGACATCAAGTGAAGCAGACCGTTGTCTGGCTGTGTGACTCTGAACGAGTGCCGAATGATGCAGAGGGAAGGAAAGCAGCGACTGAGGTATATTATGTGACTTCCTCTCACCAGGAAGAATAAGATACATATAAAAACTCTAATTTCTCTCTCTTTATTTTAAGGTAAAACGAGAATTAGCAGGTGTCCTCATTTTTGAGTCACATCCCAAAGCAGGAACGGTCTGTAAGTAAATGGAGTGCTGTCAGGTCTTCTTTCTCATCTGTGGCATGAACATTTAAATTCTTAATGTTTAAATGACAAGAGCAAAAATTGGATGCACTCTTCAAACTTGACTGACACTCAGTGTTTAAAACCTGGGGTAATAGATGTTGGCTTAGTCTGTTGCTGACTGCAGGGACAGTACTAAAATGAATTCTATATCCTTTGTTGGATGTATGTATCACCTACAATTTGGGTGTATTTATATCTAGAATTTGGGGTTGGACTAATCTCTCTTTAAAATGTATTTTAATATCCTTGTATTAAAAAAAATCGTGCTGCACAAAATAAAGGATTTAAAATGTTAGATTACTCAGACCTGTTTATACTGAGAAGTTTTAGCAAATGAATGTCAAATTCACAGCCACAGAATTGGGTTAGAACATGGTGCTACTGGTGGGATCCAAATCTGTGTGCTGATTAGTAACTGATAACCCGACATGTACCGATAAAGTAGTTGCTGCAATTGTCATGGAAAATAAAAGCAACTTTCACATCAGTGTAATAAAATAACTACTATATGGTTGTGGGTTGGTTTTTTTCCTAAAATCTGAAGGCAATTGCATTTGAAATCATAGTACGCTCTTTTTCAAGGTAGACATTAATATGAGTGCAGTAGATTTACCTTGAATTTTATTGAGTGCAGAATCTGGCCCATTTATATTTTGAATAACTATATTCTCACCATAAAATTTTTCTCTCTTTTGTAGTATTTAATCAGGGAGAAGAAGGTACTTCTTGGTACATTATCCTAAAGGGATCAGTAAACGTAGTCATTTATGGCAAGGTATTTTTTTCAGAAGCCTTTTTATATGATTCTTATTACTGAAATTGTAAGGGTAAACTTTGAAGGAATACAGTTTAATTTACAGCAAAATTGCTTTGACTGAGGAAACAAATTGCATGTAATTTTATTAAGAAATGATCCAGTGGTTTCACTGATCATACTTCCAGTTGATTGCTGTATAATTTCGGGATATGTTACACACCTTCTGAATATAATTCAGGAGAGTTACATCAGTATCTTTAGGACAAAGTCTTTTGCTGGAATTTGGTGAACTGCCAGAATTCTGTCTCATGGGGGTTTTTGCCCTGTCCCATTACCACCATATTTTCTTGCATTTGTATGACTAACTTTTCTCACGCATGTCAGGCATGTCTGACAGAAGTACTGCTTTGTGACTAGTGGTTCTCAGGTTGGATGAACCCCTCACAGATTTATGCCAGATCTTCATTTTAGTTAAATGAATGATCTTCATTTTAGTTAAAAAAAACTGAAAAGCACCTCTATTAAATTTCCTGTTTATGAAAGAGATTTTTCATGGCAAAAAATAGGACTTTGGTACACAACAATCCCTTGAGTCTTTAAAAATCCCTACTTCCCTATTGATTTCTTATTCAGTGACTGAGAATTCTCCATTCTGAACACCAAGCACTTCACCAAAATCTAGCATAGAGGCCCCGGTGCTAAGTCTGTTCCTAAGTAACCCATATTTAGCTACATTTTTTACATCACTGGGTGGGCCAGATCCTCTGTTACTATAAATTGGAGTAAATGGAGCACTGCTGATTTAAACCAGCTGAGGATGTGGTGTTACATGTTATTTCTGCAAACTTGGTCTTATTTTTTAGGGCCTCTATAAACAAAAAACAAACTCAACAACTTTCTGTCTTCAGCAGGGCTAGAAGAGTCCTTCAAGCTGAATGTAATTTCAGAGAACAAGCCAATTCTTTTCTATTCTTGCCTTTCTTTAGTAATAGTAATAACCAGCTATCAAGTATTGTTTCCTAGTCATTATTTTGGCTGTTGATTTGCTGCCAAATGGGTTTGTTTTGGTATTTGATTGTGAAGTCCGGTGTTTGTACAAGGACTTTCAATAGAATCCAGAGTAATGATGGGTTTCTGCATGTAAATGTTTTGCTCTGTGCAGGGTGTGGTATGTACTCTACATGAAGGAGATGATTTTGGCAAGTTAGCACTTGTGAATGATGCTCCCAGAGCAGCATCCATTGTTTTGCGTGAAGACAACTGCCACTTCTTGAGAGTAGACAAGGAGGACTTCAACAGGATCCTTAGGGTAAGAGTGGGAAGGGCCACCCTGACAGCGTGATATCAGAACTTGCAATTTCTAGAGTCTGTGTTATTTCTATGGATAAATTGATATCGATAACCTTGTTTGAAGTGTCCCTAATTGCAGAACAGAGATATGACAGTCTAGAAAATCAAGTAAAGGATATATTAATCATCTCTCCTCTTTTTCTGTTCCTAGCTCAGCTGTCAAAATGGGACCAAATGGAATCTTTTGTCTCCCAAATATCTCTGGTCTAGAATTTGCCACATGCTCAGTTTTTCCTTATGCTGTCCAGGATTTCTGGGTGATCTTCCATCCAAATACTGAATAAAACAAGATCACCTATTCTCCCAGATAGATCAGTGTCAGGTTGTCAAGTGGCAAATTAAATAAGCTACAGGAAAATAAGCCACAGATGTCATTATCAGAGAGCTCTAGAAAGATATTCCCAGACTAATTTTACAGCTATTCACATTAAGGCAAATGTGTTCTCAAGTACAGCTGTAATTCTGTAAATACAAGCTGGTTTGTGATCATTTATAGTATAGAAAGCCAAAACCAGTATCATCCTTTATTTGTATGTATACGTGCCCAGTATTGCAGCAATAAAACCAGTCCAGACAGGGTACTCTGCTACAAAAATGGCATAAGATTGTGTCTACTGTACAAAAGGGAATGAGGATCCCATTGCCAATAAGGTTGGGTTGGCCATGGAGATCTCCAATTTATTTAGCTTTGGTCAATACTTCAAAGAAGATCAAAGTCTGTGATCTTACTGATTTTTATCTGTGTTATTTGAAGGCACATTGTATTTAATTATTCTTTTTTTATTCTTCTACAATGATTGGGTAGTAGAAAATAAAAAGCTTACCATTTTTAAGTGCCATTTTATCTTTTTTTTTTTTAAAGGGAAAAGTCAGATTATAGGCAATAATGTTCATATATAAGTGGGGACAGAGATTTTGTTACATATGGGAAGTTCAGGGGGGACTCTGTTTTTTGGCAAACCTTTTTTCCTTTGCTATAGCCAGAGATTTTTTACATCGTTCTTGCTCTAGTCCCTCCCGCAAATCTCTGCCTCTTCTCCCAGTGCCAGTGGTTCCCTCTTGATTCTGCCTGTGAGAAAAGCAGAATAAAGATAGATAAATACAGGGGAAAAGAACCAACCCCAGAGTCTTTTGTGTTTGAAAGTCATGCATTTTTTCAGAGTAACTAATCAGCCAAGTGGGGTGCAATTACTTTATTAAAAGTAACTTGTCTTGCAGGATGTGGAAGCAAATACAGTAAGACTCAAAGAACATGACCAAGATGTCTTGGTGTTGGAGAAGATCCCAGCAGGAAACAGAGTTTCTAATCAAGGAAATTCACAGCCTCAGCACAAGTATGTTTTCATTCAATAGTGCAAATGTCAGACAATGATTAACCTTTTCCTATGGTATTATTATCCAAACAATAGCATATTCCTCCTTTCTATGGAAGAATGCAGTGCATATAAAGTTTTCTTTTTTTTTAATCATCAGCTGATCACATGCTCCATACTGGATAATATATCCATTACCAGCAGCACACCAGTTCTATGTCTTTACACAATAATTCTCTAAAGATCTCACTGTAAATACTTATCTCATGTAATAGCTTCTAAATAGACTGCACATGGAGAATGCCGAAACCCTATTAAGCTGAGCTACTGTGTGAAAGACGTGAGGAAAATACATTGTTTTATTGTTAAGTACAGATATTTTCATTTTGGATTTTGAGCTCTGGATTCTATTAAGAATTTGCTAGGTACAATTTATAGACAAAACTAAAATCTCATACAATGAAAGTCACACAGCTTATCTTACAATATAGGTTTGCACTGTACTAACAATATTCGTTATATTTTCTTTACTTTCTTCCTGAAAGGGAAAAAGTACAATTCTGTTTGGACACTACTGTGATAAGAGTAGAGTGAGGCTATTATCATTCCAAATGTTGGTAAAACCCCTAAAGGCTTTGTAAATGTGTTATTTGCAAATGGATGCACAATTTTCTTCAGAAATGCTCGAACAACTCCAACAAAATAAGCACCAGGAAGTTTTGAATCCTTTACCCTAGACCTTACTTTTTCTTAAAGAATGAGCTAATTTTGGGTAGTTTTCATCTGATCTGGGACTTCATATACCTATTTTAGCTGCATAACTGAATATAAAGATTTGTAAAGTTCTCTGAAGGGCTGAATAAACTGTTCCTTGTATTTTATATACACATTTCACATATTTCAGAAACTGCTGTTTCATCTTTCACTTGATCTATTAGAAAAACAAACTATGCTACCAGGAAAACACGTACTCTTACAACAAATTTTTCTTTGTCTAAATGAGGGGAACTTGACTGCAGCCAGTGGATTTGCATCAGCAACTGCAATGCACAGCAACTTGGTTGGTTATAGATTTAAATGCATTTTCTTGGGTCTGATATATTTTTCATGCTTTCAAAACTGAAAGTTTCATTTAAACATATTTCAAACACTACCTTCCTTGCAAACTCTTTGCACCAGCATTATTGGTATTATTTAACATTTTCTTGGTCAGAATTTGATAAAAATAGCTAGAGACATTTATGGTCCCTGGTGAAGTTAGGCTGTATTCTACACCTTACATTCCAGAAACATTTTCAGGTAAAGCTAAGAATTTAATTTCTGTAAATATTTTATGCATTTGGTCAGCTTTTGTGTAGTATCAATGTGCCGGCAAGGGAGCCTTTGCTGATAACAATGACAAATAGGCATAAGCTACACGAAAGAGGAAGCTACCTTGAAAGTTCACTGTCTGCTTTTCAGCAGTCAGATTACTTTGTTAATAGTGTGTTGGCAGTGTCTTTTTGTTTAAAATCTTTCCAAGAGAGTTGACTGGTTTTGAAGATGACATTTCTTTTGTTCACTTTGTTAATAAATAGAGAAGTGGATGCATCTATGCTTTAGAGTCCAAATCAAAGTTCCTGATTTCCAGAATGTGCTACTGGAATGTTAGTTGAGTGTTCAGTACTTTCGAAAATTCCTGTGCCCGAAAGAGAAGCTTAGCAGGGGCCTCTTCCTAAAGGCTTGCTGCTTTGCCGTTAATTGGGTGGCTTACATCTCTGATACCTCTTCAGATGAGCTGCCCTTTGTACTTTGCTCCCTAAGCAGGTACGTAGCATTTGCACTAGCGAAGTGTTCTGCATCCCAAAGTTGTTCCCTGAGATATCCAGTCAACCAAGAAACTCTTTTTCTTCATCTTAGTCGTGGGGAAAACTTCACTTTGGGAGCAGATCCTCTCAGTTGCAGTTTGGATTCTACTGCCTCCTCTGCTGAGGAGGCATAGCTCCTACACAGCTCCCCGAGCCATGCTTTCAAACAGTGCGCTTCGAAGGACTCGCTCTGAAGTTCTCACTCCCAAGATCTAACTCTTTATGGGTGATCACACTCATGCAGGGTGAATTCAGCAGAGCCTTGCAAGTCACTTCACTGTTCATTTTCACTTTCATATTCAGAGTACAGCAACCTGTGATTTCTCTGCTTCACTCACTTAGATACTTGGTTAGTATCTCTGCGAGAATGTGCACTGGCTTAACAAGTGTTTGTGTTCTTGGGACATCAATACAGTTCTTCCAAAGGGGTTGGCAGGTAAAAGAACTGTGACGGTCAGCACTCAAAGTGAGGAGGAGCTCCCAGGAGCTCAGCTCCACCACTTATTTCTCAGCAGGAGCAGAGTATCTTCACTTCTCGGGGTTTTTTCTTTCTCTCTTTTTTTTTTTTTTTGTTAAGTTTCATACTTTATCAGTTGGATTCCAAAAAAAAAGAAAAAAAATGATGCGAAGATTGAAAGAATGGAGGGAAAGATACAAAAATCTGATCTGCAAGGGAAGAATAAAAAGATGACAGGACAAGTTTAGCAATATCCTATGATTTTCTGCTGGTACTTAAAATCTTGCCAGCGTTTCTGCATGAAGCATAAAAACCTGACTATTGCACTAGTTCTCTCACCTCCCTAAATTTACTCCAGGAAATGGTACAATCCTAGGTTCATCCACTTGAAAAACTTACTTACCTCAGCTGTGTAAGGCATTGCACAAATTTGAAGATAGTGTGCTATTTCATTATCTGCCCCCGTCTTGTCAGACCAACACCTGTCAGTGATGCTGAAGGAAATTGTTTCCTTGCTCTGACACCAATACACACCAGTTCTCATTTCATGCTCCTAAGTAGGTCTGTTAAGACCCTCTAATGACTGCGAATTGCTATCGTTATTGAGATATTTATTCTCAGTGGAGAAGCATTTCTGACTGCACCAGTGCAGCTCTGCTGATTGTGGTGTAACTGTGGTGGTGGTATACTGGAGTACTTGTGCGGGGAGGGGGCCGCCTGTCATCTCACACTCCCTGGGTAGGGTAGAGAGAGTTACTGCTCCCGTTTTACCGGGGCGAAGCCAACAAAGATTGTGAGTGGTTTTGTCCTAAGCTGCACAGAGATTCTGATCAGAGCGGGTACTTGTACTCTGGCACTTGTCAGTCCTGGTCCTCTCACTGGTACACAACTGATTGTCGATTAGCTGTTTTGCCTATGAGACACTAACTGCTTCTTTCCCCCCCTCAGGTATATTGTGATGTCAGGAACCCCAGAGAAAATTTTAGAGCACTTTCTAGAAACTATGCGCCCTGAAGCAACTTTAAATGAAGCAACAGGTATCTATGTGACAAAGGCTGTGCTATTATTACTGCATAAGATGGTCTTGCTGGGGGAACACCACAATGTGATGCTTCAAAAAGCATCTAGTGGTAGTTTTTCCCAGAATAAGAACTATCCACTGCTCTGAAACAACCCCGAGAAAACCTAGGAAATCCAGAATTAAAGATAACAATCCATTCCTCCTGGTCTATTCTATTCTATTTGTACTTTTGGTTCAGAGTAGAACAGGAAAATCTCAAAAGGTGCCAGACCACTAGTCATGACTTTAATTAGGCACAACGGTAAGGCCAGAATAGAGCATGCATTACCACCCGATGATAATGGTACTCATACCTCTTGTGCTGGATGTCACTTGATACTGTGAACTAACTTGATACCTCCAGCTGTTGTGTTATGCTAGTATAAGCATTCCCAAATTTTCATATCCATATCACATTTAAAGTATGACAATAAAAATTATTTGTTTGCGATACTTTCCCATGTGCAGGGAAAGAAGAATTGGTACTCAAATGAGAAGAAAGCACACCATGGGCCAAGTCCCAAGAAAGCAGGTTGCTGCAGCTGCACTTAATAGGCTGCATTTCATTAGTGTAAAGAGAACAGAGAATTTACATCTAGGGATGTAGGTATTTGCTGACTTGCTATTAGTAAGTATTTTAATTTTTAAAAAGAGTCAGGCACAAAACATTCCTCCTAATTATGATAAAGTAATGCAGACACTTTTTATATTAAGCTACATAATTCTGCTTTAGCAAGTTCTTTTTACATTGCAGATGCCTAAGTAGTATATATTTAAAGATATTCTTAAATCCGGTTAATCTGTTACTGACCTCATAGTACTGGAGAAACCTGTGTAGTGGTCCGTAAATGGTGAAAGAATTGAAAGATTACAGAAATTCTTTTAAAGTGTGTTTTAACCACTTTTAAGTATAAAAATGATCCTTTTCATAGATACCTATTTATTAGGATTACAAGCAGAACATTGTTCTTTAAGCCTGCAAATATATAATCACAAGTTTACCATTCATAATATGCATGTATTATACATTTTTCTAAAATGAATTATTTTTTAAGTCTTTTAAAACTTTTCCTCAAAACATCGAATGACAAGATTATACCTATATCCTTATGGGATACAAAATGTCACAAGTCACAAACAAAGCTATTTTTAGTATATATAGAAGCTCAGACTACTGGAAAATTGAATTTTTAGTTTATGCATTCCCTTAACTTAAGGACACTTAAAATCCACTTTGTTCTGGATATTATGCAAAGAAAAAGTTCCACCCTTCCAGAGGTGAGTTTTTTCAACTGAGAGATATTTTCATATATGAACTGCGGTGGAGCAACAATGTAATACTACATTACACAGTAATCTCACCATATTTTTTTCTGATATTCCTTACATACAGGGGTTTTAAATGTTTCTCTTATCTCAAAAGTTGCGCTGTAGAAATGATACCCCAGGGTATTGTGTTTAATGTTTCTCAGTGATTCCATATAAGACTTGCATAGTTTAAAAGTAAAATAAAGTTTATTCTCACTGCCAAACTTATTCCAGCTCTGCAGCCAGGCTTTATAAATTATTCTTCTTGTCACAAATATAAAGATAAGGGAAACTGTGATTTACACCACTGCTACCATGGATCATTTTAACAGAAAGAATATCATGCTATTTTTTGCCAGAGAAAACGTTGATCATATTGTTCATATATGTTTTAATGTAAATGTAGCAGCTGTAGATACTTTTGAATCAAAATAAAACCAGAAATTTGACTGTCCATTTACCTCTTTTAGGCCTTCTGCTCATTGCTAGCAAATCAGCAAAGAATGAAATTATTTGCTGCCTTCTGTGCAGTATATACTAAATGTGCTGTCTGGTACTGTATTTCCCTAAAGCCAAATGCAGCAGCACTTCTTAGGTACCCAGGTGTGGCAGGCCTGATTCTTCCTATGCTAAGATCTCTACGCTTGTAGAGAAGTGTATCCAAATACTTCACTTCAGCACAGATGGGGATTTTTTTTTTCTGTGCCAAATTTCCCTTTGACACAGGCAAATGCCTGTTAACATGAGTGCAATAAAATTCATCTGGACAAGAATAAAAGCTTAATATTTCAGCTCGTATTTGTTCATTCCCCATTTTCATGCTTAATGCTTACAAAAAAAGTGCAGAAAGACCCCTTTATTATCTGCAGAGGGCTAAAAAGATATTTTAGCTGAAAGAAAACTCATCCTTGTGATCCCCAAGCTGTTTGCAGGGGCTTAATTGACTGTTTTCTTTCTTCTCTTTTCACAGATTCTGTTTTAAATGATTTTATTATGATGCACTGTGTTTTTATGCCAAATAGTCAGCTCTGCCCAGCCTTGATGGCACAATATCCTTTTGTAAGGGAAAAGTTAAATCCCTTTAACAGCTATCCCTATCAGTGATGAGACCGAAGCATCTCTCTCTCTCGAAGTACATCACGTTTCTTGGAGGCTGTCCCTTGTGGGTACGTTCTCAGTGTCTGACTAACAGCTGTCCATAGCTCAACAACTCTGAAATGGATAGTGTATACCCATGACAAGATACAGTCCCAGAGCATGAAAACTGTATCTTTCCTGTCCTGATTACTGTTCCAAGGGAAAGAAATGTACTGTGCCGCCACCAGATAAGTGAAATTACATAAATGTTTGGATTACTCTTCCTGTTTCCTTTCTGTCTTTCTTATATTTTGCTGAACTACAGCATCTAGATCTTAACTAAGATCATTATGTTTTGGTAATTTCAGTAGTCCACTTTATAGATTACAAGCTGCAAACTGCCTCAAGCAAAAGGGTGCCTAAACGAGTAGAATAACGAGTAAGTAGTTCCTAGGTGCTGTCATAATAGTTATGAACAAAAATAATAATAATAGTCTACAGCAGATGTTAACAAACGGCAAGAAACTTCAGTTGCATGTGAATACCTAGGAGATGAAAGCTTACAGTGGATAGCATGAAGAGCTGGAGGTGATTCTCATACTGTCTGCATGTTTACAGAAGGAGTCTGTGAAATGTCCATCAGTCAGTTACTGGCAGGTCATTTAGTTTGGGGAGCTATCAAGTGACTGGGAGCATTAAATAAACTTATAATGTTTTCTGTTTTATAGAATTCTGACAGGGGTATAATAACTTCAATTCCCTATTTATTTTTTTAGAATCAGATTGGTGTGAAAGTGTGCTTTCCTTGAAGCTCAGCAGGGCGAGTGACATCTGGGAAAGCTAACACCCTGAAACCACAAAATAGAGCATCGTGTCCTTGTCTGGCAAGCCTGAGAATCCATTTGTGTTACTCCTAGCAAGGACAGTAATTGTTTTGAAAACCTTTGGACCCATAAAACTGGTCTGCAGAAAATTGTTCGTACACCTGAAACAAACACATTTTCCAAAACCATGTAGTTTTGGATATCAAAAGTATTATGACATGCTGTTGCTGACAGCTTTGATAGGGGAAGAAAAGGGCAGCACTTTTTATGGGGTGGGGTTTTTTTCTGATTTATCTAGCTCATATAATTCAATCAGCCCATTTGAGACTCAGGCTTGTCTATCCTCAGTTATAATAGTATATCTCTGGTATCCAATAACTGGGAAAATCAGCTGCATAAGAGAAATGTACCTCCTTGTTTATAGGGGAAAAGCTTTTCTGAAGATCAAAGTGATAATGTGACTTATGTATACATATTCACTTCTGATGAAATCTATTCTGGAGAGGAGGCTAAGACCTCGTGCTATTTCTTTTCAGAGAGGAGGAAGAGGGCTGGAAGTATATGATGTCCCACTGCTTTAGTGTCAGCTTTTCCTAGAACTGAATTACTGTTTATTTGGTCCATTCTGAATACGGAAAATCAAACTGTGCTCTGTTGATTGTACCATTGAAATTTATTGTTAAGAGTTGAAAGGTTGCTAACAAAGATCATCTTTTTTGAGCAAAATCACTCCATAAAAATGTTTTCCAGTGCTGTGCGACTAAGGAGAGATTAGTTATGATCAGTAAGGAAATTAAAACAGAAGAAGAAGAAGGGTGATTCAGAGACACTGGTTTTGCTCCAGCCTCAATTTTGAATCAATACAAGTCTATTTTCCTACACCCACTTAGGATACTATTTTAGCTGGCAGCATGCAAGTATGAGAAGAGCTACACCACTGTAGTGCTTTCAAGCATAGTACAGGATATAAATTATTTGGGTTTTCACTTCTTTTACAGCAGCGTTTTGTCATCTGTAAGTTCTTTAATCCTGAAAGGAATGGACGTGTGCACCATTTTTGGCTAAGTAACATTATTGCTTGCTGCGGATTCAGTGCTTACACTGTGCTGTCCCTTGGCACACCACTTTTTTTAGTCATTGAAGTATAAGGGTCCTGCAATATTAAAAAACCCCACATCTTTTTTACAGGGAAGCAAAGGGCATGCTGCTGTGTCCTGGATCAGGACACCAGTCCTGTGTGTTGGACCAAGGCCCCTGTTTCCCTCTCTTCTTCACAGAGATGGAAATGGACAAATTCTCAGAGCTACAACTTGTCAAAGGGAGACAGGACAAAGCCTTGGCATAGTGCCTCCAAAAGTGCACTTGGTTTAGTGCAAGCGTGTGAGCATGTGTGCAGGTGTGCATCTTTAAAGGACCACTGTCTAAATACTTATGAAGTAAAAGTTCCTCTTCTGCTCTCTGTAGATGATAGTCCTTTAGCATGTTTCTGTATGAATGTTTTGTGAACCTCCTTTACCATCATGCTGGCAAAATAGTTTGTATTCTACTGTAGTAATGGGTGCTGATTTTGCACAGCTCCTGATATGGTTAAGTGTTCCCATGCAGGGAAGAACAGACTTCAGAATTGCTTCCATTTCCTAGCATATGCTAGACATAATTAGAAATATATATATTGAACTCTAACCATGTTGATGTTGATAAATATTTTACAATTATCTGACACTTGTTGCAAGTATACCTGATATTTTACTTCTGATTGCAGTCTGCAGTGAAGCTGCATCCTGTAGGTCCTGTAAAAATAGGAGAACCCTTCATTGACTTTCACTGTGATAATGTTAATAAAAGAGCAATTAATATAAATGAGCAGTAAAAATACAGAAAGATTACCAGTGCCTGTGGTGAGTCAGTTAATAAGAAAGTAAAAATACATGAAATAATTACAGCGTTTGAAAGGTAAAAATGGCATGAGAAAATGACTCATTAGAATATTAAACTTGCTCCCTGAGACATTAGATCACATAGCTTACAATATATTATTTACTCCTTATGACCCTTTGACTTATTTACTCCCATAAATGTACTGACGTATTTAGTTCTCTAGTCATTTTAAACCTTTCTGAATGAAATTAAAATGCAGATTTCTAAAAGTTTGTCAGCCAAATGAGCACCCCAATAACCCTGGTAGCATGTCAAATCTCTGCAGGGGTTTTGGGCAGGAGGACCATTTGGAAAGTGTGAGTTAATAGATACTTTTTCCCATTATATTTTACTAGTATTTTTTAGAGAAATGCTTCTAAATAAGAAGCTTAAAATAAATATCTTTGATAATTTTGATTTCTAATAAATATTTTAATTTTCTAATTAATATTTTTAAATATTTTGTTAGAGCAAATGAAAGCGCACCTTGAAAGGATGCTGGACTTCACTGTGAGTGGGAGTGTCAGTATTTTAATATTAAACATTGCTATATAATTGGGAATAGTATCATTCCTGACAATCCAGAATCAGAACTTTGTCAACCAAGAAGAAAAGTTGAAGATGTAACTGCACTCATTCTGTGCTTACTTCACATTCAGCCATCAGTTTATTGAGAAACTGTTTAAATATATATTGTTAACCTCTGCTCAGTGAGAAGTAGGCACATAAATTGTCATATCCTGTTTCTTCTGGGTGTTCTTCATTGTTGCATAGGTTAATGGCTGAAATTATCTCAGTTTATTGCCTGTTGTGCCTTTACTTTTTTCTTGGTTTCTTCCTTTCAATAAATGTTATTTTTGGCCTTTTTGCTATTTGCGTATTTTTGTAATGTTGACACTTCATCATGAAAAAGGTCAATGAAGTGCTTCCCATTTTTTCTTAATGTTTATCATAAAATAACTATCATCTTAACTATCACTTTATTTGATAGAGTGGAAACTTCTTATTTCTTCATATGTAAAGTGAGGCTACTACAGAATTTATTATTTTACCCCATGTCTCTATAGTCAGTCAAGGCTGTAAACTTCCAGGTCTCGCTACCATTATGGGACTGAGGTTCAACTTGGGTTACAGTAATATCTAAAAATAAAAGGAATAACACTGGTGATTCATTCTGGTAGTCTTCCTCACAATGGGAAGACTGGAATTGTTAACAAACACAACGTGACATTTTTCTTTTTCTTCAACTGTCTCCAAAGAAGAACAAGGAGAAATATCCTTCTTCAGTCTCCACGGTTAATCCTCATCTCTATTGTTCCAAGTGTCATTTCTGTTCTGCTTCCCTACAGCAACAGTCTCTGTGGTGGGATTGTGATCATTCCTGTGCTCTTTAGAGAATTCACTGTCTTTTTACTTTTTAGTATGAATGTGAAAGGTTCGCAAGTCTTTATGCTAGCGGCAGTCAGAAATCAAAGTATATATTGGAAAGTTGTGTTTGAACACCCTGAAAGTGGTTTGTTGGAAGTCACTTGTTTGTGAATTCATACTGGTTTTGATATTTTCAATCACTGAGTGTTTGCCTTGACTCTGTGGCACCTATCATGCCCAGCCTTCCCAGGGTACAGAGCAGGAGAAAATGGATTATGCCCTCAACAATAAAAGGCGAGTCATTCGACTGGTTCTGCAGTGGGCTGCTTTATATGGAGATTTACTACAAGAAGATGAAGCAGCAATGGCCTTTTTGGAGGTATAAAGGAATCGTTGTACCATTTTACTGAAAAGTACCTACCAGGCAAGATAAGCTGAAAGCCTGTTCCCAGTCTGTAGAATTCTGTCATGAACTAAGAGAAGTAGGTCATTTCAAAGTGCAAACTCATAACTGTTTTCTTGGTTTTAGCTGCAGATAGTATATGCACTGCAACAGTACTTGAACCATTGTCAGCCTCTGGACCTCTGAAAATATCTGACGGAGATGCATACCCGTTTCAAAGCACTGCATGTGTAGATCGTTTTATAGCAATAGACAAATTTGCTTTTTTTAGTATTTTCTTGAGAATAGTTCAGAAGCTCTACAAGTTGAACTGGGGGGCTGTTTATGCCTGCCTGAGGTATGCCAGGAAGGAGGTGGAGGGTTCTCACACTACAAAACCAAAAATCTTTTCCATTTGAATGCAAGCTTTACTGCAGGTATTGGAACTTAAGGGCTTTGCCTTCGGAACCCTTCTGATCCCTTAAAATCATTTAATTCCTCAGACATTGTTTGTAAGGTTGTAAGGTCTTTGTGGTAGGTGTCATATCCTTGTATTTCTAATGCACTGCCAATGTCATGTTAAGTTGTCATGTTGCCATTATTATTATATATTGTATTTATGGAACACAATCCCCTATGTTACTGGCAGAATGGGAATTTTCACCCCAAAGAGCTTAAAACTGAATCTGAGGTAAGAATTAGCAGAGGGGAATAGAGAAGGGCCTTAAATATGACAGACATATAGCAAGTCTGCATGAGAAAGCTTTTCATAATAGACAAGCTTTGGAGACAGACATAATGCCTTTCATTAGTCCAGAAGTTGAAGAACAATTACTAGTCGCAAGCACATAGATCCTTCTTTGGGTTAGTTTTATGTAGGTGTGGCAGGAAGAGGTTTGAGTAGGGTTTAAAAGAGGGTAATACTGTAGTGGACTGGAGTAGCTGAAAGTCAACAAGTCAGCAGCAAATGAACCACTAAAGGACTACCACAGCAGTGGGTAAAAAAGCCCTATCATGGCAGATTATTTGTGAATTTTATAGTCTTTATCCTTGATAATCTGAAAATGCAGTTTTTGCACAAGCAGTCAGGGGTTACACAGTGAGCTAAGGAGCCTCATCAGGCTTCCCTTCTGGATATGTAACTTGCTTTAAATCAGCTGGAGATAAACAAGTAGAAGTAATAGAGGGTTGGGCCCAGCATGTGTTCCTCTATGCAGATTATAATTCTTTATAATCATTAAACTATCAGGTGACATCTCATAATCCTCTATCTGAGTACTGCTCATTTACCCCTATAGTTATTTAAAGACTATTCTCTATCATTTACAGGAATTTTATGTATCTGTATCAGATGATACTAGAATGATTGCAGCACTAAAGGAACAACTTCCGGAGCTAGAGAAAATTGTAAAGCAAGTGTAAGCACAGTTTTTGCTTCTTTCCTCCCCCTGCCCTTTTTCTCAGTAAATAGATGAAGAAAATGTATTGCTTATATCTATTAAAAATCCATTCTATGAATTGCACTCAGTCATACAAGACTGAATGTTTGCATGCAAGCTTGTTTGGGTGAATGTCTGTGGCCCTCTCTTTCCACATTGTCCTTGCAAACATCAAACTCTCATTAAAAGGTTTGCAGAAGTAATAAGAAATTATGTACATGCCATTGAAACTAAACTGGATGCTTATTTCTTGCTTACATTGACTTTGTATAGTATTTTCATACATGGTCGTAGATTAACTATGGTATCATCTAGTCTTTTTGCATATGCAGACATGAATATCTTGATATTGTAGTTTGACAGGTGGTCTATGTTCTATAGGTGATTTTGTCCACAAAAATCTTCCAGGTAATATTTAATTATATATTCTATGCTTTACCTTTTTGCAGTTCTGAAGAACCTAAAGCACCACAAAAGAAGGTAAGATAATTTGTCCATTTTCTAAAGTAAAAGCTTTGGCACAGCAAATCCATAAGCATCTTCTCTTTAGTAATCATGGATATATTAAAACAACACATTGAGAAATAGGTTTTAAGTGTCAAATTTTGCATCGCTACTCTTTTTCCTGCCATTGATAAAAGGTCTATTGTAGTTCAAGTCTACCCCATAATGTTTCTTTCTGCATTAATGTGAATCCTGGTGATTCATTTTCAGCACAAAGTTCTTCTGCAGTTGTTCAACACAAGTGATGACAGAGCACAGAAACGCCAGCCTATCAGGGGCAGCGACGAAGGTGAGTTCCTTCTCTGCAAAGTTTTCTTGAGCCCCTGAGATTCGCAGTAAATTTGTCTTTCTCAAAAAAAAGACCTAAAAATAAACCAAAGTACTTACCTACAGTTTTGAAGCCTGGCGTGAAGCAAACTCTGTTTGCTTTTGCTAGCCCAACATTCTCCATCACTGATTTGAAGTGCTCCTGGTCTTTTCCCTTAGTTACTTATGCTATCAAACACCATGCTTCCTCAGAGGAAGACGTAAAAACATTTAAAATGGGGAATGAAAAAAACAGGTAAGACCCAGTATAGACAGTGTCCATGTAGGTAATGGCAGTGCAGTAAATAGTGGGTGCTGAAGGTCACGATTTAGCTTCTGTCTCCCCTACATTGTTTGAGCTAACATGCACAGCTGTTCGTTTGCAAGATAGGAGTGGAGCAGATAATCATGCCATGGATCTCTGCCCTGTGGCACACAGCCTAGAAAACAAAATCTGCTGGTTTGCCCTATTGCTATTGTTTGATTCTCTGAAGAGATTAAGATAAAATTTACAGCAGTGTATCAGAACATAATTTTCAGTTGTACTGGCTTTTCATATTGTCCTTTACTTCAGGCAGGTTAAAGCACTGCTATGTGAATAAAGTCCTGAGCTCTGCTGATGAGATCTGTTCGTTGTAAACAAAGACACATGCCCCTTAGAACTCATAAAGCTGAGGATTTCTTTGCAACTGTCAGGGCCAGTCTCTCAACGGTTGTTTTGGTGCATCTTCATCACAGAAAATAGCTTCTGCTTCAAGGTGTTTGATATTAAAGGATAGCTTTTGGTAGTGAACAACAGTAAAAATAAGGGAACAAAATACAAGGTCATATAGCTGAGAAAGCTTGTGGCATAAATCAAACCAACATAAGAGCCATTTCAGAAGCTGGAAGTAGCTGCCTATGAACAGCAGACACCCTGCCAGGCATGCAGCTTCTGTTGTCCCCATCAGTGTTTCTTCTAGGTCTACAAAGAATGAAACAGTTGCTGCTGCGAGTGAAGCACTACTTGTGTCTGTGTGGACAGGCAGTAACTGCCCCTTTCCTATGGCTGCACCTTTCTGATTCGTAGGGCAGGCAGCACACCGAACACTGAAAATCCATGGGCAGCTATAACCCCAAGGGCTGCTTGGCTTGGCTTGACAGCTGAGCTAACTTCTTCTGTCTTAAATTCATGTCATTTTGGGCTGCCGTGCTCTTTGCAGGCTAATGTACTATCATATTGATTTCTAGGCAGCTGGAGGCCTGGGTTCATGTGTTTCTCTGTGAGCCAAATTGTACTATACACTCAAGTGTATTCTTATTGTTAGGGTGTTTTTCTTCATCGTCTACAACATTCTTGATTCAGCAATTATATACTTGCTTGTAAAAAACAGGTTGCAACGCGGTTTGATTTAAGTTCCGATTGTAACCAAAACTATTTTCAAATCTATTTTGTAAAGATGACAATTATTTTCCTGTAATTAAGAGAGTTTGCAGCCAGTTTTCCTCGCTCTTGAAAAGAAGTGTTGATTTAAAATATTATAATGTCTGGAACATAACAATGTGCCAGGTTAAATTGGCATCCATAAATAATGTAGCAATACTGAAACACTAGTACTTCATGGTTTACTAAAAGCTCTGGGAAATCAGAGATTTCTATACTGGAAATTATAGAACATCTGAGGAATGGGGAGCTTTCAAAACTGTGGTGATTTATTGTTGCTTTATTTGTTTCATTTGTGAGGAGTAGTTACTGGAAGTAATTAGTACAGTAAAGTCTCTGTGGTTGTTACATGTGGCATACACAGTGCAATCTGTTTTTTCTTTAGTTCTGTTTAAGGTGTACTGCATAGACCAAACCTATACCACTATCCGGGTGCCAGTGTCTTCCTCTGTGAAGGAAGTGATCAGCGCAGTAGCAGATAAGCTGGGTTCTGGAGAAGGCCTCATCATAGTAAAGATGAGTTCAGGAGGAGGTACTGTATTTGCATCATCTTAAACACTTCTCACTTACGGTGAAGCAGAATGTTGGGAAGGATTGAAAGACTAATTCAGTCAAGGCTTTTACATCCAAGTGTATGTTCGGGTGGTACACAGGTTCTGTCTTAGAGGCAAGTTGTTTCCTTACTGCAGGCACAGACTGGAGCTTACATGGGGGACAGGAAAAATTAAGAAGCTTGTGTATCTGCATGTTACAGAGTAGAGCAACCCCAAGTTTCCTTCACTGTAAGACTTGATTTTTAGCAACAGAAATAGGATGTAAGCATGGATAATGCCAGGCTAGGCATATGAATCAGCAACAGCAGAAAACACTGCAGTGCAGACATTCCAGTAGTGGTCACTACCATTCTGGCCACTCTGTCCATGCAAACGACTACTGAGCAACTTAGTGCCAAGCCCACTGACCTAGTGTTTGCAAAGGGTCAGGAGTCAGCCCCCAAGTCTAGGCTGTGGAAATGGAAGAGTAACTGCAAGGTGAATTCTGCTGGAGAATTGGTGTTGCTGAAGTGCTCTGGTTGAGTATGACTGTGTGGACACACACAGAGCTAATGAGAGCTGTGTTGGAAGGCATTTTTGCAAACAGTAGTGCCTGCCAAAAACAGCTCACTTCCTGAGAAGTGACACCAGGCGGCTATAGTTTTTGCAGTTGCAGCAATTTTTTATTGTCAGATTTGCTGACAGCCAGCACATGCTAGAAGAGACTGTTCTGTAAGTTACTTCATTATCTTTTCTTTACCTCTGATGCGATGCTCTTTCAGAACTGCTGTAATGAGATTTGAATACAGTTGCATTTCATCACCTCCTTATGCAGTTACTGTCTTCCAAGGCAATTTCTATTAAGAACAGCTCTCCAAATGCTTACAGCTTGGAGAAGAATGAATGGAGTCCCTAATTATGGCTGAATTTTTGCAGGTAGTTTCTAGAGTTGGCAGCACAAGCTTCTCGACCTGTCTGTACAGCTTGGAGCTGAGATTCTAGTTCTGCATGCCAGTTTTGTAGGAGACTTGTTTGGGCTGAGCTTGTTGCCACATTTCTTCAATAAAGAAGACCTTGTTGTTATCTATTTTGTATGCTGGACATTGGTTTACTGTGCAAAATTTGTTCCCAGAAGGGTGATCTGTGCTGTTGGATCAGTCCTGCTCTAAATTTACAAATATATACTAAACAATATTTTGTTTCATGTTTACAGAAAAGGTTGTGCTCAAACCTCATGATGTTTCAGTGTTTACAACTCTCAGTGTAAATGGACGGCTGTTTGCTTGCCCACGTGATCAGTTCGATTCATTGGTATGTATGTGTGCGCTTCTCAGGAAGTTCAATTCTTCAGTTTTATTTGAACGCTTGGCCGTTTTTGCATGATCCGTGCTTTAGGTAAAAACTAGCGGAAATATTCACAACAAAGGGCTTTTCACAGTGCTATGGGATGAGCCCTGAAATTAAAACAAGGATATGTTATAATTTCCTAAACTAGAGCAGAAATTCATCTGATCCACATGACAGCACTTGATGCCAGTATTCTCTGTGTCACACTGAGCATTTCGGAAGAG